GCTGGCTTCCCACCGCGGCGGCCCGGGTTCGATCCTGGGTCCAGTCAAGTGGGATTTGTGGTGGACAAAGTGGCGCTGCAGCGGGATTTCTCCGAGTACTTCGGTTTCCCCTGCCAATCTTCATTCCACCAAATTCTCCATCATCATAATCACACGGGACAGGCTACAATAGGCCAATCAGTGGCCGCCGTGCCGAGTGGACCCAGTTGGACTCCACCCCCACTATGCAAATTAAAAAAAAAAGGAAGTAAGTAACACTATTTAATAGCACGAAGCTCCTCATTAGACGAGTTTCTGTAGGTTTCCTGTAAGAATAAGACAATGTCAGATTCAGTGTAATGAGAGCGGTTCTAAATGTGCCCGTAACATGACACCATACACATTCATAGTAAAAAGAAAGCTATCCCTGTAACAGGCCGTGGAGGCCCATGCGGTTAAGTGACGTCGAGGCTCCCATATTTTTCTAGACAATCTCCTCACTCATGGCTATGAGGTTGTCAGCCTTATGCACCGTCCGCCTTTTACTCCCAGGAAGATTCCTGGCACCCATTTTTGTTAGAGAGTGAATCCACCCCAGAGATATATTGCGCTGGGAGGATTAGGTCAATTGAAAAATGCAATGAATTTATGGGAATTCGAATCCACGACCTTCAGGCCTGTAGTGTAGGGCCTCAACCAACTACGCTACCGCGTGCCCTCCGTCACCACACACACATCTCATATACTATTTTACAACTATTCACTGGTTCAATACCACGACGCTGACATATTTCGTGTCAATGTCTTGTTGTAATAACCCAATTTCAGAAAAGCAAATTAACAAAAGTTATATGCCTTTCAGAGAACAGTACAACATTTCATGACCCTACACTGAATAGCATTAATTGTCGCTAGTAAACGAAGACTTAAGGTTTGACTTCCATCCCAGAAGATGAATATAGCATTATAGTAAAACAGGGTTAAGTATTTTATTACAAGGACAAGAGAAGAAATTATGCTACACAAGCCAATGTCAAGTAAGCGAGATGGGTATGCGCAGAGCATACGAGAATTAGCATTGTATTCAGGATATGTGAACCGACTTCTCAATTATTTTACCATTGCACGCCACTGTTCACCTTCATTATATTGTGTTTAGGCAAAGGACATTTTACACCAAATGCACTTATTGTGAACGGTTGATGTTACGTACAAGCTTCACTGTCGTACTGCAACTGTAGAATGTAAATATGCGAACGCAAAACATCTTTTGCGAAATCATATTCTTCCATATGACGAAGACTGCTTTTGAACCGTCTACGTAAGTTTGAATTTTCCACCGGTACGTGAATACCGGGAGTTTGTTTTTTATAATAGGCTTGAGTAATTCTCAATTGATGAAGAAACGATTACGTCACTATTTGACGATGACGTTCCCTCTGCCACTCTAGCACTGTTGCATTTACAGACTCCGACAGATGGCAGCATAGACCACACACGACAATATTAGTTACGTAAGATATGTATATATTAAGCATCGCCGGGAAACCGCTCTAATAGAGTAAGATGTTAATCAGAATGTGCTGCCGCTGGCCGGATGGGCATTGCCTAGGCCTTTTTTGTGTTTACAATTATTTTTCACAATAAAAAGTAGGTATTACGTATATATACAGAGGGCCGGGTGGGCACTGCCTAGGCATTTTTTGTTTATACATTTATTTTTCAAAATACAAAGTATATATTATATAAATATGATCCGTAATATACAAGTCCGAGCATTAAAACACAACAGGATGCAACCAATGAAGATCGTTAACAATTAGGTGCATTACTGTTTGTACTAATCTGCGTTAATCGAGTTGTGATGGTTCACACTAAGCGACATTCATCATTCATTCATCTGTAATCTGTCAGACGACAGGTCCACAGTCTCTTCCAAAACAGTTCCTCCACTTAATGCGATCTTCTGTTTTTGGAAAGAGACTATCCAGGAAAAGTGATAATGTGGTAGTTTTTCCATTTGCTTTCCACATCGCAGTACAACAGCCGTTCAAACCACTCTGGTCACGCCTGTTGCTATACGAACTTGAACTATCTCGAGTATCATTTGCTCTGTGCTTCAAGTCGCTGCTGATGACACTGCTTCCGGCATCAGTTTTTGGTTTTTGGTGTCTCTCTTCGTCTGATGCCTACCCTTTGACCTGTCCAGCAAGGGTGTCCCAGCGGTCCCAGCCAGTAGCTACGCTGCTGTTGGTATAGCTCTCAGGATCCTTGGCATACTCAAACCGCTCAAACCCCCTCCCCACGATAAGGTGGTGAGACCAACGAGTGGGACACTAGGCGACATCTATTGCTAACTAATCCGAATGATGTGTGTACGTTCTCCTCGGTTCGCTTTATGTCATCGCAGCAGTGCAAAGAAATTTGAAAACTCAACAACCTTGTGTAATTGAGCAAACAAAACGAAGACTCTGGAACCTCTGGAACGAACACTTGGGAGCGCTTGGTAGCTAGGGAGGGCTCTGGAGCGCTCTGGAGCTCTGTAGGTTCGTGAGTTGTTACGGCGTAAATTTAGAATAGAACTGAATAGAACGGATTAGAAGCTGTTTAGGTTGGTGAGGTATGTATATGGTAGTCTTAAGTTGTTATTAAAGGTGATATGATATTACCGAGCGTGTAAGAGCCGGTTATATTGGTGTTTAATATGGTGTATAATTCGCCGAAGTAGTTCATTCTTGAAGCGGTTCATGCCGTTTAAAATCGTAACACAAGTCTTCCTCTCTTATGCGATGACGCAATTTAGTATGGATGGAAGTTATTTTGGGCCATGTGATGACTGTGCAAGAAGGTGGTGGACGACGAAGTAGCAAAGTTTGTACTTATAAAATAGTAGAACCAATATAGTTTTCTGCGTGAGTGGAATATGTATATTTTACGTTTTAGATACATTTTTACTGTATGAAACCTATTGTGGCTCAGAAACGGGGTTTCTTTTCGGCAAGTTCGCAGTTAAAAGTTGCAAATATGTGAACTTTCGGCTTCGGCATGTTTGCCTACCCCGATGTAATAACTCCAGAATCACTTATGAAATGGAATTTCGTAACTAAGTTTTGCAAAAGTTTGTCGGTGAATTTTTATTTTAAATCGGCCAACTTTAATGGACATTACGCAAAGACGAAAAACGTATATCATGTACTGCTGACTGTGGCTGCAACAGATGACAGGCCTGTCTTCTCGTCAGAGAGCAGGTCCCTCATTGACAAAACTGCAATCGTCTGACGATAACAAAAATCAGGTCTTGGGCCCCAGATTGGACTTGACACCAAGACTGACTAGCCAACTGACCGTCAAATCACAGTGTGACTTTGACTTGACTTTTGACTTGTGATAGTTGTGAGGCAGCTGCCAGCCATTGAAGACAGTCTGTGGAACATGGAAGCTGAGGAGTTGAATTAACAATCCAGGCCCCATGTCTTGTCACTAAATTTGTTCAAATATGTGTTTTTTTTTTGTTTCATTACAGGCAGCATGACATTCGTAGTGAAATATATACCAGTGTTGAAGGAATGGCGTTTATGCTGCTGTTCCTGCAGTCTGAGGTCAGCAGCAATTGTTCTGGCATGGTTTGGCATAGTAAGTCTTTTCATACTGAAATATTATAAGCGAAAGGGAAGTGTGTATCAACAGAAATTTGGAGTCATCAGAGGATAAATTACTAAATGAAGAATCTTTCAGTTTTAAATACAAGAAGTACCAGTAGCTCTATATATATAATCATTCAGGGCAGTCACTTCAGTTGAAGCCCTAAATGAAGTTGGTATGTTGGAGGGAATTGGAATTGCTGTACTGCTAATGTGAGTTGTGTAATCTGCAAGAAACTTGTCTATCATATGAAGTCTTAAATATTTTTTCTTTCAGACCTTAATCACTGCTAAGGTGTCTTTCACCTTTTAAATAAATAGGATACAGTAATCACCATGAACAGTGAGCATCACTAACTTTGAATGCTTGTTCAGGACTTATAGAAGGTCTTGTAATACTGTTGCCAATTGTTAAATGCTTGTCCATCCATTCCAGCTAATTGAATTCTTTGGGAGCTGTTTGACCATCATTCTAAAGGAAGAAGGGAGAGAGATATAGGACTGCACTAATTTATAGTGGTTCTTAGTGTTTTTATTTGCTCTTGTATGGGTTAGGAATGTATATTTTATTATCTTATGTTCAAACATGGATATGTATGTGTATTTTATTATTTTATGTTTAAACATGACAGATTCTATATACAATAGGTTGGTTTGACCTTATATGGATTGACAGAATGCAATAAATAAAGTACAGTAAGTGAAGTAAGTAAAGGTGGGCCACCAAAAGGATGGCAGGATCAATTTGTCTAATCCAGGTGAAAAGCCCAGACTTTGTGGATGATCATCCATGATATGTATACAGTGGCCATCTTGTAGTGCACTCAGTTTTAACCTGTTACTTCACGACATGTTTCGGCAACATAGTGCCATCATCAGGTGCCCTAATTATGCTAATCTATTGCATTGCTTGCCATTATATGTCTTTATAAAATGATTTAAAAAGTGTGTATTCGTCAACTATAATAAATTTGCACACACAAGACTGCCAATGTATACATATCATGGATGAAAATCAGTGCAATAGGATGCTAAAATACAACATTTGTGGATGATGATGATGATGATGATTATTATTATTATTATTATTATTATTGTGATGATAGTGAATACTGGATTGGGAAGGATGTGAAAGAAATCAGGCATGTCCAAATTAAAGGTACTGTTCTGGAGGGACTGAGGAGAACCACGAAAACCTGTGTCAGGTAATCAGTTTTTGGTCTGAGAATTAAAGTCAAGATGCCCTAGATATGAAGTACAAGTACCACTCACTTGGCTGATGTTCGGTATCCCTGTATGAATATCAGTGGCATAACATAATTCATGTTACTGTTTAATCATAAATAAAGTGAATCAGTATTTGTTTTATATGATTGTGTTGAAGATTGCTGGTCGACTTGAGATGAATCATTATATACTGAAATAGGTTACATGTTAAACATATGAATTTTAAGAATTTGAACAGGATTTAATTTGGTAAGGATGATGTGATTATATGTGAATTTATAAAATTATTTTTCCCTGTTGGCTTCAGTTTCAGACTGTAGAATGAAGGTGTCTGTTGGTCCAAATGGATGACCTCTGTCTTATGTCTCACATTCTTAGCTAATATTGTTGTTGTGTTGCATACATACATGTATGTTTATCTGAAGGTCACAAATTTATATAGTCTTTGTTTTTCTTTCATTGCCCTGACAGCTTGCTTCAGTCTCTAAGATTGTGACATGCATCACCTACTTGAGTCATCCTGCCATTCAACCTCATGCTACATATGGTAAGACAGTTCCATAACGCAAATAAAATTCTTTGTGGTATGTATTTACTATTGTATATTTGTATGCTTACTAGCATTGCTCTGCATGTGGTTCAGAACTTTTGTTTTAAAAAAGTTGCAGAAACAATGTTAAGTGTTGCAACATTCATCTTTGTCACACAGAATTACTGGGTTTTTGGACTTTTTCCTTTCGCCCCGAATTCTAGGTAATAGAGGACATGACATTTTGGAAACCAGATCTGTTTCTGTCTTCAGGTGACCAGTAATTGAGATTAGCTCTTTCTAAAGGGCCTAACTGAGTAGGTGTCTTCCTGTCTCACCTGAACATGGAAGCAGATCCAGTTTCCAAAATGTTGTGTCCTCTATTACCTAGAATTCTGGACGATGGAAAAAGTCCACAAACCCAGTAATTCTGTGTGTCATCCACCATTGTCAGAACCCTTTAAAATCTATTCATCTTTGTCGCTTGTTAACAGATTGTTTTCTTTGTTTAGTATACCTGCTGACCTCCCTGTAAATTATGCACAAAATCAGATCTTGTAGTTCTGTAATTATTAATTTAAAACATATGCATACACTGTTTGTTTATATTAAAGCATGTAAAGAGAAGTGCGTGCCATGAGTCCTAGCAACAGCTTTTTGTTTGCATTCTTATATTTGTTGCTGAATGTTGACAGAGTCTTTCTGTGGTTTCAGAAACCAAGGAGTTCTTAATTGTCATGCTGGGCACTACAACTGGAGCAACAATCCTTAATGTGCTGCTTCTGTATGGTATCCACAATGTGGGTAGTCACTTTTGTTGTGTAGTGATAGGTGTACGCTATATTAGGTTGTGGCTGGATTACAAATTAGTGAAGATCGGTTAGAAATAAATATAATTGTTGTTTCGTCAACATGATTCTCTTACAGTTATGCATTTTATTGTGTTGATGTTTTTTTAAACATCTCTAAGTTAATACTTTATACAAGGAACTTGTACCCGAAGAAATTAAACACACAAGTTTTCTTTTAGACTCATAGCTTTGAGCCAGCCTTTTCTGAAGTGAGACACTTGTTTGACCATTTTATAGTTCTGCAGTGTTACTGTATTTTATGGTCAAACTGTATTGTACAAAAGGATTGATTTCCACATATTACAAAGAAATTCATCGTGTTTGCTGACACACACACCACTGGGGAAAAGTACTGCGAAATTACATGCATGCAGTACAGTATTTTAGGTTAAGTTGAAGGATAGATGTAGAGAAAGGGGCAAAATATTGGTATTTCTCAAAACTGTAAATTGGCTGTGGCGAGTGGATTAAATCTGCATCATTGCAAAACACATCTGTTGGGATGCCTCCAGTCTGGATATACATGCTGCTATTGCTCTGATACACACCTAGCATTTCCATCACAGAAGTCATACACAAAATGCAGATTAGTGTACTGTGCATTAGTAAACTGTGATAAGTTTGATTTCCTGTTATCCCTATTTTGCTGTCAGAAGTAATGTGAGCCATGAGCAAATGCAGCAGGCTGCCACTGTGGTCTAGTGGTCACAGTTCCTGGCTACAGATCCAGAGGTCCTGGATTCGATTCCTGGCGCTACTGGATTTTCTGAGGAGTAGTGGGTCTGGAACTTGGTCCACTCAGCATTGTGAGGATAATTGAGGAGCTATTTCAAGGAAATAGTGGCTCCAATCTAGAAAACAGAGATTAACAGCTGTGGGAATCTGTTGTGCTGACCACATGATACTCTCTATCTGCTAAAGTTGGCACTGCTTTCGCCGACAAGCGATGGTCACTCGGTCGATATAGTTCGCTTGCAGACTACAGGCCATGGAGTTACAGTATGAGCTCTGTCTTGTGACATAAAGGCTGCACTACATTTCTTTATTGCTAGTGGGGTGGGACTAAGTCCCTTGTACTGCAGCCACTTCTGGCCTATTGTACCAGCCCCAGATGATAGGTGAGGGTGATTGTGGAGCAATTAGTGGAATGAAGATTGGCAGGGGAAACCGAAGTACTCAGAGAAAACCTGCCCCAGCGCCACTTTGTCCACCACAAATCCCACTTGACCAGACCCGGGATCGAACACGGGCCACCGCAGTGGAAAGCCAGTGACTAACTGCTTGAGCTGTGGCACGGCCCACCTGCACCACATAACTGTAACCAGTATATACACTCACAAGTTTGGAGTGTTGTAACTCCGAAGTGGTGGCAAATCTGACAGCTTTTTTTGTTTTTAGTTTTGTGCTCCAAATTTCCTCCACAGCAGCCTCCTAAACTTTGGCCATAGTGCTGTGTATCACCCAATATTAATATTGGAAGAGGTAAATATTGTTAAGTGTTACACTCTGCATTCTACTCTGTTCGGCCCAAATGCATATCATCTGGCTTTGCCCATGACTTTGGCATAGACAGACCTGTTTTTAAGGGGACATCAAATCATCTATGGACAGTACATTGAACATGCATGGTATATGATCAACAAATTACATCGTTGGGTTCTTTTAAAAGGTATACACTTTTTGTGTTATTTAAAAGAGACTGAAAGGAAACAACGCAGTGTCTGCTTGAAATATTTCTAGGTGTAATAGATGTTAATTGATCAATTAGGATAAATTAAGCATATGGAATTTGTTATCCTAATAGGTGTGATTATTTGTGCACATTTTGTATGAGAATGTTTGTGTGTTAACTGTAAGTGATGCAACCCTTGAGAGTTATGTTCGACAACCTGTATTAGCAGAGATGCATGTAAAAAGTGGGGTCTGTAAGTTACTCAATTTTTATGTGTCATTTGTTTGTTCTTTCACATGGAACCATTTCAAGAGCAGTGGACTACTTTAGCTTCCAGCAGGAAGTTTTACTATATGTTGATATTGCCTATTTACAGAAGAAACCAGTTTATATGTTGCCATTCCTGGTTCTGCAACTGATTGGTCTTGTGGTTGTTACGCCAATCGTATTTATTGCTGGAATCATGGCTGCTGTGAACAGCTTGGAATTAGGACTGATTGCTTTGGTCATTGGTTTTGCATTTGTGGGTGAGTATTATTATTCCTGCTGTCATCAGGGAGTGAGGGTGGACAGAAGTCAGTGCAGTGAATTTAAATTCTGATACCCATATATAAAAATCAAGTATATGAAACACGTGTCTTTCAACATGAAATTATTTTTCCTTTCTTCCTCCCTCTCTTGCCCTCTTTTTTGGGACCATCTTTCTGTTTTTTCTTCTCTCTCTGGTTACTTTGTTGTGTTCCTCATTTATTCCATTCCTCCCAATTATATCTGGTCAGAAGATTAAATTTGCACATTATTCAGTTGTGGTTGGTGGTTGTACAGTCCAGCCACCTTGTATAATGAGTGGTTACCAGCTACTATACTGAACTGCATTCCAAATTTCTGGTCTGTCCTAGGGACACATCTTCAATATTGAGGTTACATTTCACTTTCTGTAGCTGAAGCTACTGGTTCTCTTACTTCAGCAACAAAAGTAAAAGTTTTTTCCTTCTCTTTTAAGAGTTACAAAACTAAACGTAATCTTAAATCTTAATTTTGAAATGTTTATCAGCGTTTTTATACATTTCATACATTTTAAGCCTTTTATGGGTTGATTCATTTTTCAAGATGTATTATACTTGTATGTTATTATTTGTGCCATATTGTGGCATGATAATAGTAGAAACATAGCTCAAGGTCAGGATCCATAAGCTGACATGAGTGCCCCAAGTACCGCTGAAGCTACAAACTAAAAGCAGTAATTTCCAATGAAGAGTTGTCGTAAGTTTCTTTACTTCTTTAATCTAAGTGCCCTTGCCGTTGAAATGGCAGATCATGTTAAGAAAAGAGGTTTACCGGCTGGGATGTGTAGTTAACTACTTATTTCCATCTGGTGCCAAGGTTAGGAATATGTAGAGCTATACTACCATTTCCCCACATGTCTTCATGTTGTGGTGTTTAAATAATTAATCACAGGGATACCATACCTATATGCATAGGGAGAATAATGTAATGTCATCACTATGTCAGTTGCAGTGGATTTGCAGGAACACCAATGGAGGTGTCATTTGACAGCTTGTCATGGTGTAGGCATTCATGTCTGTGTGTGTATTGCTAGTGTTTATATATATCTGCCATTAGAGAAATTTATCTCTGCAGTTTCCAAGAACACATCACTGAATTTTTTTTGTATTTTGTTACATCCTTATGTGTAATATTGCATAGATAATGTCTGTTGTATTCTTTGTCAGTACAACACTATTTCCAGCAGATAAGGGTTGTTTTCTAAGGTGACATGTTTCACCACTTCTGTGCCAACTTGGGGTCCTGTTTATAATTACATTTAACACGTACATTTTTTTTATTGCTAGTGGTATGGGACTAAGTCCCTTGTACTGCGGCCACTTGTGGCCTGTTGTACCAGCCCAAAATGATAGGCGAGGGTGATTGGTGGAATGAAGCTTGGCAGGGGAGACCAAAGTACTTGGAGAAAACCTGCCCCAGCGCCACTTTGTCCACCACAAATCCCACTTGACCAGACCCAGGATTGAACCTGAGCCGCTGCAGTGAGAAGACAGCAACTAACCACTTGAGCTATGGCGCAGCCAACATATACATTTAGTATAAATAAAATAAAAAAATCACTCAATGTATGATATGTTAACTATAACAGTAAACAGGACCTGAAGATAGTAACCCATGTGCTGAAATATCATCTCAGACAGCACCCTCGTCTGATGTAAATAGTACTGTGTTGACAGAGAATGAAGTGCAGTAAAACTGTGTTATTACATGTGTGTCAGGAGACAGAATGAAGACCCATGTTATCAGCAACCCTCAGCATTTTGGGAAATTTTGCAGGAAATAATTTTTTTTAACATGAACATTTTTGTTTATAGCAAGTTTAATATCAGATTACAGTAAAATTATTATAGCATTTAGGTCTAAATGCATTCCTTATTTAATAGGTGTTTTTGAAATACAGGGTGTCCAGATGAAAGGTGTCCAAAATAAAATAATTATATCTCAGAAAGCATTTGTTATATACATTTATGGGTTACACCATTACACAGGGAGACTACCAAAGTATTTTTTTTCTGAGTATATAACTTTTCAATTGTGAGAGAATTTTTGTCGTAGCCTTGGCGATGCCTCACGTTGAGCATCACTTGTGATCTTGTCAGTTTTGTTGATTATGAAGTGGGGCGCTGTTACGTGGCCTGAGAACAACGTCGGAGTATTAGTAATATGGAAAGGACGATGTCCTAGGTTTGAGCCTTGAGAGTCCGTCTTGGGGCTTAACAGGCCTTGCTCGATGAGGGGGGATCACACACAGTGAAGAAGTCTTCAGACCACCACAAAGCACAGTAGTTGATGTACTTGATTTATTGAACACTACACTTTTCATTACAACAGCAGTTCTACATCCACTACTATACTTTTAACACAAATACACAAACTTGGATGACCACAGCACTAGGCAACAATGGACAGTCTTCCAACCTAATTGATGAGTTAATTCTCCATTACTTGTGTGTGCCTATATCCGCTTGTGTTCCTCTACTTGTTGTCTACTTGTCTTGACATCCCTTTAAATACTAAAGGATGATGCAGTGTTCTGGAATCTTCCCCTTCGAGAATATTCCCGAACTCTGTTGATGCATGACGTATTGCTCTGAAAACTTCCAGATCCTTCTTGAAGCTGCTTTTAATTGTTTTTCTGGTCGAGAGCATTCTGGAAGCATCCTTTAATTAGGCTGGCAGTGGGATGAGTAATCATCAACATACCCCACCGACTATTAAAGAACCTTCTAGTAGCCTCTTATCTGCATATTGCTCATTGCGATTTCTTAGAATGGTTAACACAAGATTGGGCATAAGTTACATTTAGTATAAAATTGGTACTAAGTAACAAATATCATACGTGAATCGGGTTGGTAGGTAAGTGATCGGTTACACAATAAATTTCAATGTTGGCTCCCATGGTTCCATGACAAATATTCAACATGATTAGCATCCATTTGTCTATAATCCGTCTAAATTGCAACACTTTCTATTTTTCACTTCAATACACTCTCTTAACACTACATGTTTCGGCCTCAAACGGCGATCTTCAGGTGTTTTTCTACAGATATTCAATTAAGATTGTGTCAAAATTGTGTCGAAACTGCTACACTGTTTCACTGTTCCGATTCATTTTAAAAAACTACACGCTCTAGTCTATTTTTTAATTAAAATAAGATAAAGTTCTTTTATAATTTGTTACTTATAACTGACGTGAAGAACAAGCTGCCAAGGAAAACATCTTATATTTTATGGAAATGACGACACCCTGAGTGAAGCAAAACAATAAGTAAGAAATTATAAAAGAATTTTATCTCATTTTAATTAAAAAGAAGACTAGAGCATGTAGTTTTTTAAAATGAATTGGAACAGTGAAACAGTGTAGCAGTTTTGACACAGTCTTAATTGAATATCTGTAGAAAAACACCTGAAGATGGCCGTTTGAGGCCGAAACATGTAATGTTAGAGAGTGTATTGAAGTGAAAAATGAAAAGTGTTGCAATTTAGACGGATTATAGACAAATGGACGCTAATATGAACAATTGCAACAGGATGCTGAAATACAGAATTCAACATGATATTCGACCTCATTCCATGTTGCTTGAAGCTTGTTTGGTGTTACCACAGCCATAGTATCCCTTATTTGGGCTTTCAGGTGCTGAAGGTCATTGATCTTAACCTGATAGACAGTGTTCTGCACATAATCTCAGAAGAAAAAAATCCAGTGTGGTTAAATCTGGTGACCTAGAAGGCCAAGCATTTGGTCAACCTCTGCTGATCCATCTCCCAGCCATCTCTGTCCAGGTGATTCCTAGCATGGTGGCAGAAACGTGGCGGTGCCCTATCTTGTTGGAAGATAGATATGGACAGCCATAAGAGATTGCAACTCTGCTAGCCACAACATGCATTAAACCTGTTCCTATGGTGTCAACAACATTACTGAGCTCCCTGGAGGTCACCAGCTGGCACATGCATATAAGCCAGGCATGAAAAAGAAACTTTGAGAGTTTTCCTTTCTGATAACATAAACTGGATATGTGTGTGACAAATATTTTCTGAGATATAAATTTTTTATTTTGGATACCTTTCATCCAGACATTCTGTAGTTAGATATTTTCTTGTGGCACAACCACCTAAAATTGAAGAAAATAATACAACTGTGTGAAAGAAGCGAGAGGAGGAGTTGCAATAACATGTTCCTCAAAAACTTGTAGAAATGTATATTTCATTAACATAGCCTGGGCATGTTATATCCAATGTGCCACATTGATTCCTGCACTGGAGGGGTTTTCCATGGTTCATGTAGAGAAGCATCAATGTCTCCTTAGCAAATTAATGATCATGTGCAAGGTCATATTACCCACTCAGAGTTACCCAGCTAGATGCAGTTATTTGAACAAAGTTGTTTATGAAGAAGAGAAAATTACCGTAAAATTTTAAACAGAGTTGTTTACAAAGAAAATAAGTGGAGTCATTTTGGGAGACATGACTAGACCTGTGCTATATCAGAATCCACAGTATAATTAGGCGTGCTATACGTAGTGAGTTCAAGTTCTAAGGTCTCCGATTTTTTTTTCTCACACAATAATCATGCAAAAAATTTGAAACTTCTGTCACTTTTCATTGTAATCTTCCTGCAGCTGTACACATTTTTCACAATGTCGACGCCATGATTCCATGGCCGCTGCAAACGCTTCTGTAGGAGTCTGTTTTGACCACTGGAAAATCACTAATGCAATAGTGGCACGACTGGTGAATGTGCGACCACAGAGAGCGTCTTTCATCATTGGGTAAAGCCAAAAATCGCTAGGAGCCAGATCAGGTGAGTAGGGAGCATGAGAAACCATTTCAAGGTTGTTTTCACGAAGAAACTGCTGCGTCGTGTACACCCGATGCGCTGGTGCATTGTCCTGGTGAAAGAGCACGTGCAGCCTTTTCTGGCCATTTTTCTCGCAGTGCTGGAAGGAGCTTGTTCTTCAAAACATCTTGGTAGTATGCACCTGTCACCCTAGTGCCCTTTGGAACGCAGTGAGTAAGGATTACGCCATCACTGTCCCAAAACATGGGCACCATCATTTTTTCAGCACTGGCGCTTAACCGAAATTTTTTGGGTGGTGGTGAGTCTGTGCACTTCCATTGAGCTGACTGGCGCTTCGTTTCAGGATTGAAAAACGACATCCGTGTCTCATCCATTGTCACAGTTGATGAAAGGAAAGTCCCATTCATGCCTTCATCACGTGTCAACATTGCCTGGCAAATTGCCATGTGCGCAGCCTCATGGTCGTCCGCCAGCATTCGTGGTACCCACCTGGAGGACACTTTCCGCATTCGCAGGTCTTCATGCAGGATTGTATGCACAGATCCCACAGAAATGCAAACTTTGGAGGCAATGTTTTCCACACTCAATCAGCGATCCTCCAAAACAACTTTCTCAACTCGCTCGACCATGTTGTCAGACCGGCTGGTGCGAGGCCGAGATTGTTTTGGTGTGTTGTCACACGACATTCGGCCTTCTTTGAACTGTTACACCCATGAACGCACATTTTTCACATTCATGACACCATCACCACATGTCTCAGTCAACTGGCGATGAATTTCAGTGGGTGTCGCACCACGCAAGTGGAGAAATCGAATGATTACTATCTGTTCTTGTAAAGAAAACGTCGCCATTTTAGGTATCAAAAACACTCGTCACCCTTGCCGCCACCACTAGAGTTCTGTGTGCCGTACAGTGCTGCCATCTCTGTCACGCATTCACAAAGAGTGCACACGTATTTTAAACTAAACCGCATGTGTCTATCTGCTCCCAGTCCTGAGAAAACAATCAGAGACCTTAGAACTTGAACGCCCCTCGTAGTAGAGTTTTGCTGTATTATCTCACAGAATTGTGTAATGATGTAAATGTGCCTCAGGCAATGAGGGCATATAATTTCTTTACCACCTGTAATCGTATTGGAATCGCTAAGTTTCACATCCAACTGATTCACATATGTTTCAGTACTAGTGGCATTCTTCTGGATTGTCCTGTACAGTTACTACCGGCAGGTTGAAGAAGAAAGGAATCATGATTCTGGGATTGTGAACTATACCTATGGAATACCAAATGATCATGATCAGATCTTGCCAGAGGATAAGTCGTCTCAGGTCTTGTCCCAGTAGGGTGGTGGTATCACATATGGCTTAAGATACTTCATGGAAAGCAAAGCATTGTATAAGCAAAACCAGCTTTTATTATTATAATTCTTTATATATTCCATACATTTGTAACATCGAGTCCAGTGTTGTATTCATTCTGTGACTGTAATGGTCATTGCCTCTAACACTATAATATGTCAGCTTTTGTTAGTGTGAATTCCTGAGGGAAGATACATTAGTATAGATGTGAAAGCCATATATTCTTCATGTGGTTTATTACCCATGACAGTAATGTTGCTCATACATTACTAACAAACCTTTTGGCCAAAGAATTTCTGGAAATAGTCTCAAACAAATTTGTCATAAACTGTTATTGTCTTTCCTAATATATTGTCACATGTTGCTCTGTGATGCGACAAATAACTTCACGCTGCTCTTGGATCTAGCCAATTTATTGCACACTTTTATCCGCACTTACATAACTCACAAGTTCAGTATCCCAATTACTTCTCCTTCTGTAGTCACTTCCAGGCTTCAACTGTCTTGATTTCAGTCACTTGATACAAGTCAACAACTCTTACTCATACTGCTCATAACTCATACTCAATACTGGCTCAGCATTGACGAATACTCTCATTATGTAGCTTCTGCACTAACCACACAGACAACAGCCTATTGCCCAGCAATGGACTCCATAGAAAGCAGTTATGTGATAGTTGTCACTGTTTTGTGACATCACAGCCTAGCGGGGTGGGTGTATACCAAGCGTCACGTAGCAATGAGCTGAGTGGGGATATGTGATGTCACTCTCACTTCCTGTTGTGCTATCCAAACGTTCATAGAGTTGTCGCCCAGCAACATACCAATACAATCCGCAGTACTGATGTTGCATGCATGCCCCTAGGCCTCTGTGGCTCCACAGTCCCTGCATAGAGCAAATACGCCACATTCTGCTCCCACCTTAAGGCTGTTCATCCCAAATAGCCTAACGGTGTATCCCTGTTCCTTTTCTTCCAAGGGATTTGCTTGCAATGTCTTCTTTTTCTATGGCTTGGATTTCTTTCCTTCCATTTGTCCTTTTTTGAACCGCTACATCTGCTCCCTTGTAAAGACCAGCTCGTCTCGAGCAGTTTCCTGTTAATGTGCCGGGAGGTCCAGTTGTATCACAGTCATCCAACGTTTTCTCTCTCTCATTTATTCGGCCTTGCTGGAGAGGCCGGTGCTTCTATGTTATCGGCTCCCCCTCTATACTCTGCTTCTCTTTCGTTTTGGAGGGGGTCGACCCCTCCACAGTGTTCAGTCCTTGATTTTCTATAGTCTGTTGGAAATCTCTACTGCTCGTTTCGTGATATCCAGCCTTAGGTTCTTGCTGAGGGTTTGGCTGGCTGTTCTCTCATTCTCAAGCTGCAGCTGCCATCTTGTGTGTTGATCCTTCACTCCAGTGCTGACCTCCAGATCCACCTGAAGTCTTTTTCCGAATGTCAACCCTGTGAGGGCTCCTCTTGCAATGTTCCTCCTAGTCTGGTTCTTCCCGATGATGTGTCCCTTGCGCCATGCCACACCTGCACGGCGGGTCATCTTTCCTTGGGTGGCGACATTTCTTCTGGCACCCATCCTGATTTTGGGTCTGTTCTTTCTTGAAGGCATCTCTCCTATGTCATGCCACTGTTGTGCGATGGGACACCTTCCTGCAGGTGGCAACCAATATCCTCTGAGATCCACAATCTCCTCAGGTCAGTTTCTTTGGCTCTCCACGTCTCCCTGCAGCTTGCTTCTTGCCTTTATGCTGCTTCTTCCGTCCTCTGACCAGTTTCACTACGGCATCTTCCTTAGGGACTTCTTGATGCTTTATCACCTCAGGTTTCCTGTCCAGTGAGGTTGGCTCTTTTTCGAGACGTGCCTCCGTCGTTTCTCAGCAGACCGTCATCTTCATGTCTCTTTCCAGTTTGATTTTAGCCACTGTCTCCTTGTGGCTGGTGTCTGTCTTTTCTTGCCATTGCATTGCGGCATTCACTTTTTCCTCAATGGCATTTTTCATTTTGGCTCTAATTTCCTCTTGCAGTTGTACTTGGCCGGCATCTGTTTTTGCCTGTTTGGCTTTCATTTCCTCGTGTCTGGTGTTGGCCTCTGCCTGGTCAGCTTTTCTATCTTCTCGCATGGCCTGCAGGAGTTCCATTATTTGTTGAGGCTTCATATTTTTGTGCGTTGCCTTCGTGTTTTTTAAGTTTTATCTCACTTGACACCAGTTGTCACGTGTTGGTATATGTGTCATGACAAATAACTTCACACCGGTCTTGGATCTAGCGAATTTATTGCACAATTTTATCCACACTTACATATCACACAACTTCAGTATCCCAATTACCTCTCCTGCTGCAGTCACTTCCAGGCTTCAACTTTCTTGATTCCATTCACTCAGTACAAGTCAGCAACTCATACTTATACTGCTCGTAACTCATACTCAATATTCATACTTAATAGTGGCTCAACAGAGTCAAATTCAAAGTCAAATTGCGACTGACGGCCAGTCAGTCAGTCAGTAAGTCTTAGTGTTGAGCACTCTCCTGGGGCTCATGACCAGATATTTATTACTGTTTGATAGTTACAGTCTTGTTCTTATGTGGTGCCCTCTGACGAGAGGATGGGTCTGTCTTCTGTGCATGCTGCTGACCCTTGCCAGCGCAGTTTTTCTCAGGTCCAAGTCCCTTGGGACTCACGACCATATTTTACTGTCTCAGATTTGAGACTTCCCTTCAAGTCATGTTTATACTGCTCGTAACTCATGCTCAGTACTCATACTTAATACTGACTCAGCACTGACGAATACTCTTGTTATGCAGCTTCCACACTGACCACATAGAAAACAGCCTATTACCCAGCAACGGACTCCATAGAAACCTGTTACATGATAGTTATTACTGTTGCGTGACATCACACCCTAGCGGAGTGGGTTGTTTACCGAGCGTTGCGTAGTGACGAGCTGAGTGGGGATATGTGACATCACTTGCACTTCCTGTTGCACTATCCAAACGTTCACAGAGCTGTTGCCTAGCAACGCGCTGATACAATCCGCAACTTTCACGTTGCGCGCATGCCCCAAGGCCTCTGTGGCTCAACAGTCCCTGCATAGAGCAAATATGCCACAATATTTATGAATTCTTGTCATAATTATCGTTTTTTCTTTCTTTTATAATGAATAAAGTGTACTTAAATTCCTGTAGGAGAATTGTTATTACTGTCACCTTGTCTCTGTCTTCTTGATAATTGCTAGCAGGGTTTCAGCTTGTTCTGCCTATCTGAGCTGTGGGATTTATCCATTTGCATATCCGAAAGGTACAGCATTGTGGCTATAAAACTGACCATTCAGCTTCACCTGTTGGGAGGGAATGTGTGAAGCTTTCTGAGAATGCATAGCATCCAAAAGGCACTTGCATTTTCACTGCCTTGAAATATTGCCTTCTGTTAATGGTTTAATATGACTCCCAGTAAAGACTAAAGCAGTTATTGACATTTCCACATACTGAAAGTATTTCAGACTTATTTTGGTGCATAACTTGTTACTGTACATCAGGAATACAGAGTCTGTAGTGCTGTTTTCTTCAAATAAGTGAATTGTAATTTTTAAATTGTTTTAGATTTCAGTATTTTATTTTCATATTTGTGTTTATTAACTCTGATTTGTTCTGTTTGTCAGGATGTGATGTAATGTGTAGTATTGTTTCCATTTCCAAATTTGGAACATGGAAGATGTTCTGATTCATAAATAGAGGTTGGAATACAGATCTGTTATTTGTGGTGTTTTACAGCTGTTGTTTTGAAAATTAAAACTGAATACACACAAGGCAAAACAGTGCTTTATTTCTGGAAATGGGTGCTGAAAAGCATTTACTGCACAACTTGATATTCCTGCGAATCTGATAAACTGTCCAGTATTACATAATTTTATTGCAGTTTTGATTGCATAAATTTTTGGTTTGCCTGTTTTTTTTCATACTTGGGTTCCTTTTCAGAGCCTGGAGACATAAATGCCTGAGTAATATTCTTTACTGATTTAAATGCATTGTTAATTTCTGTGTCAAGTCCAGTTTCAGTGCAGTTACGATATTGTATGACCATGTTAGAGCTTCCCGCTGATTGTTGAGCCGCTGGAGTGGAAGAGTCTGGTTTTTCTCCCATCCCATCATCTGGCTGCCAAGATTGAGCCTGTAGTGTAACAACACCCAGATTACAGCAGATGCCAGGAATGTTCTCTGATGCTAGGAGGAGAATATTCAAACCTAGCACCAATTTTATCATTACTAGACACAAAAATTGAATCAAAACACCAAGTGCTTACTGAAGAGACCGCGCTTGAAGATTCACCTCAGAAATACCTGAGGGACTTTCACCAAGAGACTTGGAGTTGCAGTTTTAAAGCTTCAGGTTTACTTAATTTTCAAAGAAAACACTTTAGTGTCTGAAAGTATTAATTTATTTCCTTGGGGTGGGGTGAGACTTAGTCCACTTAGTATGTTAGTTAGTAATTGACCTATTGTACCAGCCTCAGATGATATATCAGTATGGAGCACTTTGTGGCATGAGAATCAGTAGGAGAAACCAAAGGCCTTGGAGAAAATCTGGCCCAGTGCCATTTTGTCCACCACAGACCCTCCCTTAACCTGACCTGGGATTGAACCTGGGCCGCTGCGATGAGAAGCCGGTGACCGACTGCTTGTGCCTGAATGTAAATGTTTTACATAGATGCCAGGAAAGTGTGCTTAATAACAGGGAACATATCCAGCATCTGCTGCAATATTGCTATGTTTTATTTATATTTTTTGGACTGAATGATTGTTGAATGTGGTAGCAGCCAGGCTCCATGCTTGACTAGGTAGGAGTAGTGCCAGACTCCTCCACATGAGTACCTCAACAATTTGCCTGAGCTCTGAGATTATTGCACTGTACTGTGACTTCCTCTGTAAGGTGCTGTTCAGTGGCCATGTGTGAAGAATGCTATCAAAAGGATTTTTACTGATAAATTGTTACACCACATGGGACAGATTTTGATCCTGTTATCTGGAATTTGAACCGAGCAGGCTGATGGACTTCAGAAATATGTTGTGGCTGTAAGGAATGTCGATTTGAGTATGCCCTTTTTGAAAACATTGGTTGAAAATTGGCTAAGTGACCCACATGCAGAAGTATGATTCTCAGGATCCTGAAAGAGGAAAATGATACATGGACCAAGATCCTGTGATTGACCATGATGAAATGGATGTCTTTATCAGAATTTAGGAAGAAACAAATGAAGCAATGATGAAGATAGAATGATGTTGGATCATAATTAGATATGTCTGGAGTATGTGAGCTGATATGAAAAGGCAATTGAATAATGCATTCACAAAATATAGAGCAATTCATGACTTTTCAGGAACTTGTTTTCTGAAGTTTACCTTCCATGGCATTCTTGCAGCAGTCTGCTCTTACATCTGCAAGTTTGTTCAAAAGTCATCAGGGGATTTGACACATGGACATGATACAAGAAGCTTATCTTTAGTTGTAGAATAAAGATTATAGGCCTAAAACTTTCATGTTGTTTTGACAGCAGTTACCAACAAATTATTGCTCGTCCTATAGTAGCATACAGGTTATGTAAAGCAGTCATCATTAATTTGATTTGTAATTTAATGTCTCCTCCAGTTTTATGGAAATGTTACTCATTTTTGTCATTAAGTTTCAAGAATTTGACCTGTTTGTATGTCAGTTCCCAGAATGTCAAGAATTTCCTTTGCCCCTTGTTAATGTTTTTATTGTGTTGCAAGATCCACCCTACAATCGTAAGTGGTTGGTCAGGAATTTAATTTCATTATTAGTGTTTGAGCAGTCCCTTGTACTGCAGCCACTTCTGGCCTATTGTACCAGCCCCAGATGATAGGTGAGGGTGATTGTGGAGCAATTGGTAGAATGAAGATTGGCAGGGGAAACTGAAGTACTTGGAGAAAACCTGCCCCAGCACCACTTTGTTCAGCACAAATCCCACTTAACCAGACCAGGATCGAACCTGGGCTCCCACGGTGGGAAGCCAGCAACTAACCACTTTAGCTGTGGCGTGGCCTGAGCAGGTATTTTAATCTACTGTGTTCTAGACTTTCTGTTCAAGAGGTGCAAAAGCTTCAGTACATTGTTGATTTTGTATAGTACTTAAAATAAAATTGTCCAAGTCGGTTAGGGGGCACAATGCCACAAGCTGGAAGGTTGCAGGTTTGAGTCCCGATGAGGTAGATTTTTTTTCAGTTGACCTAATCCTTCCAGCTGCTATATGGCCCTGGGGTTGGCTCACCCTCTAACAGAAATGAGTACCAGGAATCTTTGTGGGGTGTAAGGCTGACAACCATACTGCCATCTGTGAGCCAATTGTCTTAGATAATGTGGGACCCTCAGCCTCTTAAAACCGTATGGACCTCCATGGCCTATTACAGGGATAGCTTTACAAAGTCAGTTAAAATTTAAGACTTTCCTCTTATATCATACCTGAAGTTAGTGACAGCAGCCGTTCTGCTTTTGTGTTGCTAATACTAGAATAATGTTGGAGAGCTCGATTCTCATTGTAGGCACAGCATCTAAAATTCTGGTAATCTTTTGTATGACACTGTATAATGCAAATCCCTATTCATACAGACAGAATTATGAACTGTCATCTGTTCCTTAAGACTTATGTGTACTGTCATGAAATTTATTATTCAGTCCAAAACATTTTACTAAACTTCACTCCAGCTATAAAAAAAAAACGAACTTATCTTTAGAACCATAGAAGCTGGCCAATCCCCACATCCAGAAAATTAGATTATAAATATTCTTATAACATTTATTTTTCTTAACAATCTCCTTACAAGACAATACATATACTTCATTGATATAACACAGTGAAAGGGGAAACAAGAGTAAAATGGTGATGTAAAAACAATGAAACATACTGAAGAGTAAGAAATCATAATTCTAGAAATGGAATCTTAAATTGACAAAACACTATTTCTTTTCGAATCTTCATAGATTATGATAGATTTTACCTGTCAAGCACATTAGCCCCAAGACAAATGCTGACAAAAGCCTGAAGAAACTTAGAAACTGGAGATAACATCTGGATTCATTGAACTTCAAACCTAGTCTGGAAATGGAATCTTAAATTGACAAAACACTATTTCTTTTCGAATCTTCATAGATTATGATAGATTTTACCTGTCAAGCACATTAGCCCCAAGACAAATGCTGACAAAAGCCTGAAGAAACTTAGAAACTGGAGATAACATCTGGATTCATTGAACTTCAAACAAACCTAGTCAATGGATAAGATCCAAGTCTTTAAAACTAGCAATCTACAAAGGATTAAAGATTACTCCAAAATGATTACAGTTGTCTTTATGAACTATGACGATGTTTTCAGGAATATCCAAGTTCTCTTCTTTATTTTGTAATAGTTCCACTTGATGTGAGGCCCAATCAAAAAGGATCAAGACTGAATTCATATCATAGTCATGGTTCGAATGCAGAGAGTAAGTAGAAAAGGTTCTGTTCATCCAAATACATAAGTGTCACAATTGTCTTGGTGCTGGGAAATGTTCAGAAATAAATGTGAAGGACTTAGCTTCATTTTTACAATATATAATCAAAATTCTACCTAAGGGAGAGGAATTATACTTCAGCACCCCATTGTATTGAGACATTATCCTATTTTACTAATGTTTCCGTCAATAATACAACTTTAAAAAGACATTAGGAATATGTTTTTCACTAAAAATGCATTTTAATACCGTGACAGTTAAAATCAATAAAATGCCTGTAGGTTATTATGTTAGCATATAAATTTACACATTAAAAGTGAATGTCAACACTCAACTTGTCTTGGTTTTAAGTAATTTATCTTCATAACATGTTTCGGCCTCATTGGGCCATCATGAGGTGAATTCTATCCTCGAGTGAGACCATTGCACGATATTTGTTTCCCGTGTGTCTCTCATGCACGTCATTATTCATGCTAGTTGTTAAATTTTATTTTTATCCAGCTATTTTGCGGCTGTTATCACTTAACATACAACATGCAATAGGACTAGAATATGCTTTTTTGACTTCCTTGATGCTATCATATATATATGTGTACTTAATGTTTGTCATCGTGTTTCCCTATGTCAGTGTCCCCATTGTGGTCTACTAGTATACTGAACATAATGTCATTGCTCTTGCTTCTACCTTATTCTGTATGGTGTGTCCAGTGCTATCTATCGTAGAGTTCTTGGGTTGTGTGTTTCTATATGTACATTTTTGTATATTTTTTAGATGTGGTATCTTTCCAGTGTATTCAAGTGTTTACCTTTTCTACAGATTCTTGCGACGTCCATAGTATCCTCTATTTTGCCACAAGAGTGTCCCGTATTTAATATATGGTTCAAATATTCTGATTTGTTGCAGTTACTCCTAATAGCTTGAATGTGCTCCTTGTATCTCATTTTAAATGTCATTCCAGTTTGGGCAGTGTATTTCACTGGGCAATCCAAGCATTTCATTTGGTATATGACGCTATTGTCATATTTTCCGATCTCAGTGTGTTGCTGATTGTGTTTTTTGTGCGAAATGCTGTTCTAAGTTGTGTGTTTTTTAATAATTTTGTCTTACTTCTTTTCCACTGTATGTAAAAATACCCCATTTTGTTTTTGTGGTGTTAGTTTCAAAATTAAATTTGTGTTGTATCCATTTTTCTGTAGGATATTTTTATTATTAGACCAAAAACAACTAGAGAATGTGAAATGTTTTAAATATCTGGGTAGCTTGTTAACAGATGATGGAAGGTGTACTTGTGAAATTAAATCCAGGATTGCCATGGCAAAAGCTGCATTTAGCAAGAAGAAGAATCTTTTTACCAGCAAATTGGACTTAAATTTGAGGAAGAAACTAGTGAAATGCTACATTTGGAGCATAGCTCTGTATGGGGCTGAAACATGGACACTTAGGGCAGTAGATCAGAAACATCTGGAAAGTTTCGAAATGTGGTGTTGGAGAAGAATGGAGAAGATCAGTTGGACCGATTATGTGAGAAATGAAGAAGTGTTAATTAGAGTCAGTGAGCAGAGGAATATCCTACATGAAATAAGAAAACGGAAGGCTAATTGGATTGGTCATGTTTTACGCAGAAACTGCCTTCTAAAAGAAGCTATCGAAGGAAAGATAGATGGGCGGATAGAAGTGACAAGAAGACGAGGAAGAAGACGTAAGAAGATGCTGGATGACCTTGGGGACAGAAGAGGATACTGTCATTTGAAGGAGAAAGCTCTAGATCGCATTAAGTGGAGGAATTGTTTTGAAAGAGACTGTGGACCTGTCGTCTTGACAGATTACTGCTGATGATGATTTTTATTATGCTCTCTTCTATTTGTTTTGATTCTCTAGTGATTGGGTATGTACGTAGTTGGAATGATCAAATCAAGTAGGAAGAGGTTAATTAATTCTCTTAGTGGGGGGTGGAGTCCAACTGGGTCCACTCGGCACGGAGGCCACTGATTAGCCTATTGTAGCCTGCCTCGGGTGATTATGATGATGGAGAATTTGGTGGAATGAAGATTGGCAGGGGGGGCACGCGGTAGCATAATTGGTTGAGGGGCTATGCTACAAGCCGGAAGGTCACGGGTTCAAGTCCCAATGAGGTCACTGGATTTTCTTCAGTTTACCTAATCTTTCCAGCTGCACTATGGTCCTGGGGTCGACTGAGCCTCATAATGAGTACCAGGAATTAATTAAATAATTTTCCTGGGGAGTAAAGCACGGCTGGTGCGAAAGGCTGACAACCTTACCGCCATCTTTGAGCCAATTTTCTAGATAATTTGGGACCCTCAACATCTCACAACCCTATGGGCCTTCATGGCCTGGTACAGGGATAGCTTTAAAGCTTTAAAGACTGGCAGGGGAACCCGAAGTACTGGGAGAAAACCTGCCCCAGCGCCACTTTGTCCACCACAAATCCCACTTGATCAAACCCGGGCCGCCCGGGTGGGAAGCCAGCAACCAACCGCTTGAGCTATGGTGCGGCCTGGGGTACGAAGAGGGTGGGACATGTAACATGCATTGAAAAGCGAAAATCTGAAGGAAGAAGACCATTTGGAAGATCTAGTAATAGATAATAGTTGGGAGAATAATATGACAATGGATCTTAAGGGAGCAGGACTGGATTCATCTGGCTCAGGATAGGGACCAATAATGGGCTCCTGTAACCACAAAATGTTAGGAATTTGACTGATCAACTGTTAGCTTCTCAAGAACGGCTGTGCTTCATTCAGTCAGAACTAAAGCTCATACAATTCATTATCATAAATTTTGTTAAAAAAAGCAATGGCATCAAGAACATCCAACGATCCAATAGTGTCTTCTGTTAATATTTCATAAACATTCAATATGATCACCAGGAGGTGACAAAGACTGCAAAGGTTTGAATAAAGTTCAACAATACATCAAAACATGACATAACAACGAGAACTTAGAGAACTGCTAATATACGATGGGGTACCCAAAAGAAACCGAACCAATTTTTTTGTGGGCAGAGCTTGTGTAGTACCGCGTTTTGCCACTATGAGGGCATAGAGCTAACATTCCTGAGTAGATAAGCCGACTACCATTGCTTCAGAAGGTAAGGACTAGTTTCGGCAGAGTTTATAGTGAAAACTGTTTTGTGTGATCGTCGTTTTTGCAATGGCTGATTTTCGTGAACAGCGTGCGGCGGTGAAATTCAGCTTTTTGCTCGGGAAAAGTGGAACAGAAACTCTTGAAATGTTAAAAACGGCATACAACGACGATGCTATGGGGAAAACTCAAGTGTTTGAGTGGTTTTCCCGTTTCAAAAATGGTGAAATGTCAATTGATGACAAACCTCGTTCTGGTCGTCCTTCCACGGCCCGAACACATGAAAATGTTGAAAAAATTCGTGAAATCATCAAGGAAGATCGACGATGGACCATCGAAGAAATTGTGGAGCTGTCGGGAGTGACTTGGAGCTCAGCGGCCAGATTTGTGGCAGTCGGGTGACTGGTTTTTCCATCATGACAATGCCCCTGCCCACACAGCCCTGTCTGTACGACAATTCTTGACCAAAAATGGTATGACCCCTGTTCCTCACCCTCCATACTCACCCGACCTTGCCCCATGCGACTTTTTTTTGTTTCCTCGAATGAAGAGAGACATGAAAGGAAAAAACGATGGAGGCACTGTCAAGCATCTCAAAAGATGAATTTAGACAATGTTTTGAAAAATGGAATAAAAGACTAGACAAGTGTATTAGTGTAAGTGGAGAGTACTTTGAAGGGGATTGAAGGTTTGTGCTTAAAATTTGAATAAATAAGTTAAAAAAAAGAAGTTCGGTTTCTTTTGGGTACCCCCTCATATAATAATACACTGTATTGTTACAAAATCACAACCTTTGGAAATGACACATAGATTTGAGATGTTTGGACTCCTCCTGATAAATGCAAAAAAATATTTGACAAACAAGGCAAGAAGGTGCTGGTAAGTCAATTCATTATTAATTAGTATGAATTTTAGGTGAAAGTGAATGAATCAGGTCATATTATCTCCCAGCAATCCCACACCTGAAAATATCTTGGTTGGGCTGCAAGGTAAATAAAGTCTTAATTTCCTGAGTAAAACACAAACATCTCATTTTGTACTGTGGAATTGGTGTACAGAGATATCTAACTTAAAGTTCATCCTCTGGCACGCCCCACAACTTAATGCTGCCATGAGATGCAGACAACAGAAACAGTTGTGAGGGGTGGAAGCTCAGTGAGTGCACTACACTCCCCCTATCATGTGTGAGTCTGCTGGTTACTGTCCCCTGTACCAGGTCCCAGCACCAGATGTCTCCATCTATGCAGCCAGATAAAACATGGCGATCTCTGTTGTCCACGCAGCTCTCCATGCAGTAATCACCCATATGGTGACCAGAATACCTGCAGAACAAAGTGAAACTCTCAAAACTATATGAATTTACATGTCAGTATCAATGACAATTTCTGTTTATTTTCTAATGCCTTCGTTTTTTAAAACTAAAAAAAAGAAGCAATACTTTAAGCTTAAACTCTGTAAAACTATATTTACATAGATATACATTTTGTTTATAAGAGTATAAAAATAGCATCTGTGGACAAACTAAGAAGTGTGAATCTTTCATTCAACTAAGACAGGCATTTGTATATCATATATGCTAAAGCAATACTTAAATACCCATTATATACTTGCAAGCTTGCATCTGTCTATATTTTTTCCTATATACAATGAATTTGCAATTTTACTAACCTTTTATGAACCTCAATTCTAGCTTTATGTTTTTATACCATCTGTTACATGTAAGAAAATCATTAACATTTTTTAAATAGGTATGAAGACATGTCAATAGGAACTGAAGTTATTGTAACCCTGTGAATAAATTATATAATCATGCAGTAACACACATTAGACCACGATGGCTGCAGTGCAAGGACCAGTCCAGGCCTACCTTGTCACACAGCAAATTTATACATCTCAACCAATCCCTCTTGGCAATAACTGAGAATTCCTTGCTTTATATACACAACTCACTCTGCCAGTAAGTCTCCACTTTCTTTATCCAGCAGGCGCACCATGTTGTCAGCACTGCTTACAACCAGGCACTGTCCATCATGTGTCAAACTCACATATGTCACTGCATCTGAAAAATTACATTCCACCCAAAAAACACTTTACCTTGATGCAGCATATATCAAAGTTCTGAAGGATAATGTGTGAAGGAGATTTCTTTTTTATATCTTGCCACATTAAATAAAATGAAAAGTTTTACGTTAATAATGTTTTGATGTGTACAGGTGGAATATATATAATGAATACAACAAGGCCGCGCCATAGCTCAAGTAGTCGCTGGCTTTCCACCGCGGTGGCCCAGGTTCAATCCCGAGTCTGGTCAAGTGGGATTTGTGGTGGACAAAGTGCCGCTGGGGCAGGTTTTCTCCGAGCACTTCAGTTTCCCCTGCCAATCTTCATTCCACCAATTGCTCCACAATCACCCTCACCTATCATCTGGGGCTGGTACAATAGGCCAGATGTGGCCGCAGTGCAAGTGACTTAGTCCCACCCCATAGCATTAAAAAAAAATACAAAAATGTTGTTAGAAATTAAAGAAATTAGTGAATTTTTACTGATATTTCAGAGAAGCAGTTATACAAAATACGTATGACCTGCAGAATTTCATGTCACTGCTTTAATATTTCAGAAACACTGAAAACATATAAAAATTTGGGTGTCCCCCCATGTTCAAAGCAGATGAAATTTGGTACTTGGCTAATACTTCATTGTAAAAAAATTACAGCAGATAATAAAATAATATAGACAGTGGTCCAGATGACTATGGAAGCTGTGAAAGCATGTGGAACCACTATGGTCCATAACTGGGAGTTGTACATTATCTTTATCATCTAAATATTCATGAACAATCGGGTTGCTTCATTTGGCAAGAAATATGCACAAGTAATCTGACATTCACTGCATATCACTACTATTCCTCCATTCTTCCATGTGATGTTCAAACCATTTAAAATCCTTGCTTCACTAATACACATTTTTATGACATTTTATTTCTTCTGTAAGTTTACTGTTATTTTTTCTTTAACTTTTCTTGGCTCAAAAGTGTAAGACCAGTATAACCATTGTATTTATCAATTATTTGCACTCTCTCATATACATAATGTATATGAGAAAGTGGGGGTACACAGAAGCATGGATGAGGCACTATGCTACAAGCTGGAAGGTCATGGGATCGAATCCAGATGCCATTGGATTTTTCATTTGCGATCCACTCCCCCATATGCCTTCATGGCAATGTGCTTAATTAGTTAAGCACAGGGACAACTTTACCTTACGTAATCCTTCCACTCACACTGTGGCGGTTGGGTCAACTCAGCCTCTTAACAGGAATGAGTACCAAGAATTTACATGGGGGGGTGGGGTGTAAAGGGCAGCCAGCATATAAGGCTGACAACCTTACTGCCATCTATGATCCGACTGTCTAGAAGATGTGGGAGCCTTGACCCCTCACACTCCTATGGCCCTTTGTGGTCTGTTACAGGGACAGCTTTATCTTTTCTTTTTGCCTTATATGAGAAAGTATTGAGATGATGAATACTGATCTCCAGATTTTGATGGATTTACATGTTCTGAGCCTTCCTGATTGTGAAAAAGTGTTTTTTGGGGTGTAATATATATATATGCATATACATGGATGTGTACTTAGCTAGCACCTGAACATGTGGACAGATTTTACTCATTTAGTCAGCACCCAGTGAATATGGACATTCTAGCTCCAAAAACAGGGACTGTTCAGGTGGGTCACCAAAAACAAAATGGTGATTTTCTCCAGAGCACCTACAATGATTTTTATTAAATTTCAGTCATTTATGTAGACTAATGCCTTTAATAAAACTGCACAGGTGGCATCTTCAGGAATATAACAGTACATGCACTAGGGCCCCAAATGTGAAATATCAGTTTTGTCAAAACCAGCTTTACAGTTCAGACAGATTTCATTGTTGTTTAGTATTTATTAACCATCAACGCTTACCAGCAAACAGTCAACTTCACTTCTGTGGTAACAAGCTGAATCATATGTAAGAAAGATGGCACAAATGTGTGAGGTTTCAAATTCTTATGGCAGCAAGTGTTAAAATTACACTCTTGTGGGATGTGATGCCATGCTATTTGGTACCATCATTTTAGAGGAGCCTTCTGCCTCCATCTTCAGGGTGGAAGAATCCTCCAAAGGGCTGATACCCATTTCTCAAACTACACAATGTAACATTTCAGAATACCACAATCTTAAAGCAGCTAACAGTTCAGATTTCCTGTGTCACAACACAAAATGTACAACTGGAAGTATGATAAGCTTCAGTTTAACTTTACCTATAGATAAATACTAATGTGGTAGAAAGTATGGGATACTGACGTGAGTAGGCACTGGGAACATAACAGCATGCTAGTAGAATACACAAATATCTCCAGTGCATTAATACCTCCTATGAAGTCGGAGAACAGTCTATTTGCTCTGATGTCATAACGGCGCACCTTGCAATCTACTGATCCTGTCACAATCTCATGATCAGTTACCGCAAGAGAAGTGATACCATCCTTTGCTTCTCGCATCACCTATCAGTCACACAAAAACAGATATACTGAGTGGCTCACTGCAAGGACTGAAGCAGGATTATGTTAATATCCAGAAAGATGGCATATATGATGTACAATTGAAAGGCTTCTGGTAAATTCTTAGTCCCATGTATGAGGGTAAGTCAATAAGTAAGTTATAAATGGATATAGAACTTAAAGAAATAAGAGTAGTGATTTGAAAAATGCTTTTATTTCTGAACATAATCTCCCTGTACATTGAGGCACTTGTCCCATTGTTTCACAAGCCCCTAAAAACCAGCATCATAAAATTCTTTGGGCTGCTGTCAGAATAAGGCAGTGACTTCCCTTTCTTCAGCTTTATCGTCAGGAAAATGTTCAGCTGAAAGATGATGTTTAAGAGGGCCGAACAAATGGAAGTCGCTTGGGGCAAGACTCATCACCTGTGACAATGCAGGCCAGCATATTGTGTCCATTGTGGTAGTGATCGACATGCTGTAATGCCAGACCCATTTTTTTGCATTTTGTGTTCTGGGGCCAGAATGTGTGGCACCCATCGTGCACAGACTTTGTGAAAACCTAACCTGTCATGCGACTTCCATTTGTTTGGCCCCCTTAAACACCATCTTTCGGCTGAACATTTTCCTGATGATGAAGCTGCAGAAAGGGAAGTCACCACCTGGTTCCGACAGCAGCCCAAAGAATTTTATACTGCTGGTTTTCAGGGGCTTGTGATATGATGGGACAAGTGCCTCAGTGTACAGGGAGATTATGCTGAGAAATAAAAGCATTTCTCAAATCAGTGCTCTTATTTATTTAAGTTCTATATCCATTTGTAACTTACTTATCGACTTACCTACATATCATGACTTTACTGTATGCCAGAAAAATCATTACACCTTTAAAAAAGGAGGTTCTTATACTGTTCTTGTATACAACAATATACTTTCCACAGTATACTTTCTCACAACAGATATAAATTCAGAAAAAGAAATATACCTGTATGTCAGGTATATTAATAGTCCTCATATGATTAATATATCACTGCTTAATGCACAGAAGTTCAGCAAAAATGTGTGGGCTGTTATGAATATAGTAATGTACCTTCAGGTTCTAGAAAAGAGAATTTCTTTACCAGATAAAAAATAATCAGTGAATATATGCACAGCCTTAAGGTCGTGGGTTCAAGTCCCAATGAGTGGATTTTTCAATTTACCTAATTCTTCCAGCTACACTGTGGCCCTGGGGGTGACTCAGCCTCTAACAGAAATGAGTACCAGGAATCTTCCTGGGTGTAAAGGGTGGCTAGCACAGAAGGCTGACAACCCTTCCACCGTCTGTGAGCTGAATGTATAGGCAAAATGTGGGAGCCTCGACGTCTCACAACCCTATGGGCCTTCTTGCCCTGTTACAGGGATAGCTTTACCTTTTTTACCAAACCTTTATGTACAGCCTTAATGCAGAAATTATAGTATACTTAATGCATATTATTTTCGTTTTCAGTGACAACCTATCCAGAGGGATTTTGAGATCCTCTTCATACATGCTAGGATATGGTACCATAGAAAACTAATCCCACTCAATCACATCATTCCAAACTCACTATTCGCAATGATCCTACATTCTCACCCAACAGCCCCCTTATGTCCTCTTCATAAAGAATCATTAATGAATATAATAAACTACATGTACCAACCTAAGTCTCTTCCTAATTGCTCCATCTTTCATTCAATTTGTCATTAATTTTCATTCCAACAACCTCTTGTTTTCAACCAACACAGAGTTAAACACAGACATTTCAAGCGACAAATATCTCATACCTGGATGGGTTTCATGTTCCGGCTACGCACATCCCAGCACATGATTGAGTTATCCTGCGAGCCTGACACAGCTACTGTAGATTCCTCATTATACCGCACACAGGTGACTCGGGCAGCATGTCCACGTAGTCTGCGCAGTGGTGTGCCTGAGCTTACATCCCACAGTATCACTGACTTGTCTTGCCCACATGACACAATCTGACTGCCATGTCAAATGGAAGACATGGATATCATTGTTATGTTGCATAGATGGGAAAGCAATAGTCTTGGTTCTGATGCAGCAAGCAAGGTAGTACAGTGCTATTAATGCAAGAATACTGAACATGAATGGTGCACAGGCACAGGTTCCCATATTACTTATTTCTATCAGCTGTGGTGAACTGGTCATCAACTGACATAGTAGGCATGCACATATAGGCTACTTTCTGACCCAAAGTTCACATCTCCAATACAAGAATAAGGCCTGTGCACCTTAACAAAGAGCTTGGGTAATACTAGGGCACAGGATTGATGATAGGACAATGAGGATTTGATTTCTGTAGAGATTTTTCTCTTCACCACTGTGTCCAGATGGGCTTTGAAGCCCATACAGCCTCCTGTCCAATGGATATCAAGGGCTCTTTCTGTATGGGCAAAATGGTTGGAGTGGAGCTAAACCTCCATTCTTTGTATGTCTTCATGGCATGGAGCTTAATTAAGCAATTCATCATGCCCCAAAAATGAAGTATGAAGTTCCAGCATCCTTATGACTGATAGAGAATCACTGTTTTGATATCAAAACTTTATATTTTAAATTTTCAAAAATAATTATGCAATTAGCATTTTACCCACAAACTATTATTCTTGAATAGTTTTTTGGTATATCTTTGGTTCAACTGGGAAAATGTCTGTAGATAACCTCTATTAGTGCATGTTATACAGGCTATCTATGGACATTTTCAAAGTTGAACTTGTGATGTACCAATAAATTATATACACACATATTTTGTATATTGAAGTGTGTGTACATTATTGTGGGGTATCTGTCCCACGATTTTCTATGCAACTGTGTGTTTACAAACAATGTTACTTATTATAACACGTGGCTATGGAAATGTAACAAGTATAACTTCTGTAATCACAATTCGGGATGCTCTTTGTCATAGATGGTTCATTACTTCATCATACTACACACCAATAAATGAGATACAGAAGGGTACTGTGAATGGCTTAAAAGGGACTGGGAGAACATGCTCAGGGCTTAGCCCATTTTGTAACATGGAAATTTACATTCTGAAAGACAGGAGCCTGCAGCTTACTAGAAACAGACAACAAATACTGTACCGTTTCATGCTAAAAAACCTGCATGGCCACTAATATATAGTTACTGCAACAGAATAAATGTTTCTGCTTACAGTTTCCTGATGAATTCAATTTACAGCATAAGTAAAAATGTGGTATGGCAACATACATTTCCAAGACTATTGGAATTTCATCAAACTGTATGATCAAAGTTCTTTGGAGTATAACGACATAGGATGTGGATATTTAAATGTGCAGCATAATGGGTATAAATACAACATTAAATACTCAATATTAAAATTTCTACACCATTTAAAAAATTAAATTGGTTCTGGTATGTACATTAAAGTAAGCTGTTGCACCTATACAAGGAATAATGTTGTGTATATTGTACAATATACATGACATTTTGTAATATGGATCCATAACAGTTACAATTCAATATTTTATGACTTTATATACTGTATTGCCTGATGATGGCTCCATGAGAGCCGAAACATGTGTAGCGGTACCATAAGTTAAACTTAGTTGACAAAAATGTGAGTTGTTTGATTGTTGTGTTGATGGATATATACAAGTGACATAGTGATACACACAACAGGATGCAGTTCCTGAAGATGTGTAGTTTTATCCATCTCCCCATAAACCTTTACACATTGGTTGCAAAGTGCAAGAGTAACTTCACTTTTCTAATGTCTTCATAAAGAACTCTTTAAAACGATTTACAGCATAGGCTTCATATGGTTAATTGTAATTGTTGAAACGTAACAAAATAATATGAAAGAGTAAGCAAACCATTTACTTTCTCCTTTAATACAAACAGATAGGAATGCTAGTCAAGTTGCAAGATGCACCTGTTGTCACATGAACTGCATGCATCCAACACTTCATCTGCATGTCCACTGTATGTCTTTAGCAGAAGTGCTTTATGTGGATTCCACAGTTTCAGCTTCTTGTCTGCACCACATGTTAAGCAGTACGAACCATCAACTGGAACACAAAAAGAGTACCATACAATAACTTCCCTTAAAAATGACAAAAAGAATATGGCAATCAATCAGAACTGCATTTGCATAAAGTGTGGGCTCAATAATGTAAATTCCACACAATTAAAACTAGAGGGAAAATCCTCATCAAGTCTCTCTAATGGCGAATGGTAGTAACACCTCCACCTACCTTCCAAGTTCTCTATTTGGTAACATGAAGGCGTGAGCGGCAAACTTACCATTAAATCTTACTGCCCTTACAGCGCCTTGCTTGGTATCTATGGTTTTCAAGCACTTTAAATTAAACTCGGCATTCTCCATACTGGTCAGCGATCGCCAAATACCGTTCAGCAGGTTATGTTTACTGCCACATAATTAAGTTCACAACAATGAATGCTGCTCATCACTAACCATATTCTAAATTGATAATATGTAAACCAGAATTGTCGGGACAGAGAAAATTTCAGATTTCGCAGGCTAACAAGAGTTTTTTTCATGCGATCTAAGTTTATTGCGCAATACTGACGATACAGATATTCACGCCGGTATATTCCATGGAGCACTTTCAGTCTTTAATTTGGACATGAGTTAATCAAAGATTATCGTTGAAAATCTGAATGTCGTTGCGTCTTGAATTTGTTCACCCTGGTGCAGTTATTCTTTGGCTAGGGGACGTGAGGGGTTTGTTGTCTGTTAGGTTTGGGGTTAGAGATGTGGCGGAAAGCAAGTAGATTTGTAAGTGGTTTGGTACGTTATTTCGTCATGAGTACTCATTATTCGAATTTTCCATGTACTTAGGTAAATTAAAGTTTCTAAACTTACTGTAGATTTATTGTGACAAGATGAAAATCGGAGAAGGGAATTGTTTCGATTTCAGTAATAGCTAATGTACAAAAACTATTTCATTTTTTGTTTTCAGTCCACAAAACTAGAATATGACATGTAGTTTAGGTGGCATGGGATCTGAGCTCATATATTTTTTTTTATAAAACTGACTTGTCCAATTGTACATAATGTAACAGTTATGGATGTTAAATAAATAAATCAATCAATCAATATATTTTTGCCGATTTCATAGTTTCAAAGCAGATTAATGTTATCTTAAAGTAGATTTAAATAGCCTCATTATAGCGGAATTTCAGGATTGCGTTCAACAGTTTGAAGAATACAGACCCATCATATTACACTACCACATCTAAAATTTATCAATAAGTACTCGATTACTCGTGTAGTTTTGTATATGTGTCTTGATATATATATTTTCAAAGGGACCATTTCCACATCGTAGGTTTGTTACCTGTATGGATATATGGAAAATAAAGGAAATGAATGAATTACAAGGAACATGAATGCAGTAACATTCCCAAATAAATGAAAAGTTACTGGAATGGTACATCAACTTGTGTCCGTGGTGCAGGGTATTTTTTTAAAGTTTATATTTAAGCTGGTGATATGTGAAATATATCAGTAACCATAATTTAAGTCTGTGTAATTACCGGCTTGATCTGTCATTTTCTAATTACAAGCAAGACTTTCCACTAAGCCTGGTAGTATAGCTACTCTGTAGAGTGTAGAAGAAATGTTACTGCCAGAATTTGAATTACTTACCTGTAAGCTTAGTACAAGTAGTTACTTATTTACTTCATATCCCTGGATCATTATACATGATATAGGACAAGTCAAATACTTTACAATACAA